GACCATCTTCGGTGGATAATTGGCTACACCCGATACGGCTGAACACCACTGGTCACGATTTCTCACTGGAACTCCGAGAGTCTCCTCACAAAGTTAGTCACTAGTGAACACATGATAATTTTTAATGTTGAGTTATGGTCTAACACTGATCGATTCATGATTTTAATGCCAATGTATCAGCGAATTATGATTTATGATATAATTGACAGTAAGTAAGCTTGTCCTTAGACGCCACAGCTTGAGCTCCTGAAGAGCAGACTAAAGAAAATCGGGCTGATCTTCGATATGGATTTAGCTGTATAGACCACATCTTCATACTACAACAGGTCCTAGAACACAGGCACACATTTAGGTGTCCGACAATAGTTGTCTTTCTGAACCTTAAGGCTGCATTTGACTCAGTGGATCGTAAGGTTCTGTGGCAGTGTCTATCATTAAAATGAGTACCAAAGAAGTATTTTAACCTTCTAAAATCTCTCTAATCGAACACCACTGGCCGGGTGAGAGCTTATGGCGAACTGTCATCGAAATTCTCTACTTCAAGTGGCGTCCGTCAGGCATGTCCAACTCTCTCCATTCTTGTTCAGATTTGTCGTAGACATCCTTTTAGAGATAACATTATCCTCGTCATATATTTCTGGGGCAGCCCTTCTGCGAGGAGGATCTCTTATTGACCTAGAATATGCCGATTACATTGTTCTATTTGGTGAAGACGCTGACAAAATGCAGAGTCTTCTGACCACCACACCAGCAACAATGCAAGCAAGTTCGGCATGCGGTTCTCACCCTCGAAATGCAAAATGTTGCTTCAAGACTGAGTTGCGTCTGCACCGGAACTAGTGATAGGGAGTGAAGTAGTCAGGCTTGTTGACTGTTTCACTTACCTCGGGAGTCTCATCAGTGCCGATGGCCTGGTGACTGACAAAATCTCTGCACGGATACAGAAGGCTCGATCGGCTATTGCCAACTTGCGTCATCTATGGCGTAGGCGAGATTTCCGTTCGCTAATCAAAGGTCGAGTGTACTGCGCAGCAGTTCGCTTCGTCCTACTATACGGATGCGAGACTTGGCCGTTAAGAGTAGAGGAATTCCGTAGGTTACTAGTCTTCGATCATCGATGTCTCCGAAGCATTGCTCGTGTATCCTGGGACAGCCGAGTAAGCAGTGCTGTCGTTAGGAAACGAGTACTAGGTAGGGATGGCAAATCAATAGATCAAATATTGAAACTTCATCATGTGAGGTTTTTGAGACATGTGTTACGTATGCCTAACCACCGACTGCCGCCACGACCTATAATTTGTGGTGTAGGAGTAGGTTGGACGAAAGTTAGGGGCAGCCAGACCAAAACATTGCAGAAATCCATGAAGTCACTGACAAGTGGACTGAGTCATGTCGATAGGTGTCGACTACCTGGTTGGGATCCGCGAGATGATAATAATCGATGGTTAGAGGCCTTGAATGACATGGCTCAAAATCGTTTGCAATGGCGCAAGTGCATCCATTCATTGAGCTCTCTCAAATCCTAATCCTCTGGATTCGACAGCACCTCTACTTTTGTCTTTTTACACCTATCTCACTGAATTATACTTCTTGAATAATATCTTGGAACCCTAATCTTCTCTATCACCGGTAATTCTTCTACTATCTCTACCACTAGTGGATTTGAATTGACAATTGCGTCTCTGCGCTAATATGGTATGACAACTTGAACTACTATACTTACGTACGAAGTTCTACGTTGTAACTGACTGACTGAAGCTTGTCGCTTAGTTTTTAATATCAAATACAATCTATTTACATATTAAATGAAGTTTGAACACCTTTGATTATGTGGAATATTTTCTAAAATAAATATTTTCATATTCTTGACTACAACGATTCAAATTTGTTTGTATAATGACATGATAACAAAAGAAAATGCTGACTATTCACACAAAATGGCTGCCATCTACAAATTCGTTTGTTTTTGAATGCCAACTAACAGTCAAACATAATAATGTGTATTCAACTGTATAGACGTGCATAGATAAGTACTGATACGTATTCGACTGGAAAAATGTTGAAATAGTAGATGGAGGGAATATGAAACAAAGACTATGGAGCTTTTGTAGTTAGTTATCAAACAATAAGAGTAATGAAAACAAAATTAGAAAAGTCATGAGAAACTATAAGGTCAAGCATAAGGTCATCATGGAAGATAATTACATACTGTAAATCTACGATAGGACCAAGGGTCAACCACAACAAAAATCCAAACAAGGTCAACGTGAACAGAGAACAAGTTGTTAGTCATGTTTGAGGTTAAAAAAGTTTCGATTTAAACTCGAAGACGGTAATTTCAGTTTATCTAACTTCACTTTCGAGATGATATTTCATTTATGTTAATAATATTCATCGGAGAGTTATAGAGACTGTTGTTTGACATTGAAATCATGAACTAATCATTGTTAGACTAGCATTATATGCCTGGAACCACTGGGCGAATGTTTCGATATAGTATGAGACTCATTAACAATGCACATCCGCGATCCTCATTAGCCAGAATCGAACCCAGGACCTTCGGTTTCGCGCGTGAACTCTTAACCTCTAGACGACTCAGCCGACATCCAACAGTGTTAATGTCTAACTTCATTCAATCCATGATATTGTACAACCACCTCACTCACTATCTCCGGTAATTACTACCTACAACCGATAGGCTTGAACTCCACTGATCACGGCTTTTCACTAGAACTCAAAGTAGTCCCTCAAGAAGCTAGTCACAAACTAGTAAGCACATTGTATGATATTCGCTTATGTTAGTGTTAACTAATCGATACTCGATTGAACAAGCCTCCAATTTCCTAGCACTTCGACTTTATTTTCAAATAAACACATTGTAAAAAACGATTTTCATCAAATCAATTAAAACTTACTCAAATGTTTCAACTGTCAATCCTTTATCAGCTAAATTCACAGATTTTCCATCTCTTATCCACATAATATTTGGTGTTGGTTTACCAGTGGCTAAACAACTCACTGTCAGTGTAAAACCATATTCTAATACTTGATTTGGAATTGATTCAATTTTAGGTTTTACTGTAAGAGAAAAAAGAGATGAGAAGTTATCAAAAAGAAAATATTCAATGTTCAATAGACCAATGACAGTGAACTTTTTAAAAGTTTATTAATGATTTTCCTTGCTTTAGTGTTCAAATTATTCACATAAATCATGCATCATTATTATGTAATGTCAATACAAATGATTTGTTTTAATTAATTTACTGTAAACACGCAATAAATTAGAAAAACTCATATTAGTAGACATGAATGGTGGCTAGTATTGAAATCAAGAAGGCGCGTTTTGTCTAATTTAAGACTTATTCCCCGTAAATGTGTCTGCATTCCAGGGTTGATGTCCATTCCGCGACATGAACCCTGTACCGTTCGTTACAAACACCGTCGCATCATCCACTTAGTTACTGAATCCAGACAGTTAGTTACTGGCTTGTGCACTTGGGGGGGGGCGAAGATTAATTCATTCCTATCTGAAGTTTGTGCTGCTGATGATGATGTTCCGTTCAGAAGAACAATGAAATCTTGACAACCAAAACATCTAGCTCACAAAAAGAAACTCCATCACAATCGATCCTATTGATTTTCTGAATCTTCCCATCTCAGCTGATAATGTTTACAACCTAATGGCATTGTTGAGACAATCTGTTCGGTATATGCCGAAGAGACTGAGCACTAACAGTCTTAAACATCTATGGGAAGATTCAGATAAAGCCAATTTGAATGAAAAATATATATGATTCATATAATATAAGTGTAATTTACTTATTTACTTCTATTTTATCATTCATTAGATTTCATCAGGTTAAAGTGATATATATATTTATATGGCGACACACGGGATCATCGTAGAACAGTCAAGTGAATGGAATTCACCACTCTACATTAACATCATTGACTACGAGAAAGCATTCGACAACGTGGACAGGACAACATAATAAAGACTTCTTTGACACTACGGTGTGCCTGAGAAGATAGTCAACATCATTCTTATGTATTAAACTGTAGGATCGTGCATGGAAGGAAGCTCAAGAAACTCGTTCGAAGTAAAGACCGGTGTCACGTAAGGTTGCTCACTCTCACATTTTCTCTTTCTTCTGGTGTTCGACTGGATTATGAAGACATTAACAACTACCGGGGAAGAACGGGGTACAATGGACGGTTGGAGTGCTGCTGGACGATCTAGATTTTATAGATGATCTACCCCACTGTCGAACATGCAACAACAAATGTAAGAGAAGACGACAAGTTCAAAAGCAACCTCAGCAGCAATAGGACTCAACATACATGAAGGCAAAAGCAAGATCTCTCTATACAATACAACATGCACCAAACAAATCACACTCGATGGAAAAGCTTTGCAGCACGTAGAAACCTTTACATATCATCTGGGGAGCATCATTTATGAGCGAGATGGATCTGATGCAGATGTGAAGGCATAGACTGGCAAAGCAAGGTCTGCATTTCTACAATTTAGCAACATCTGTCTGTCACTCAACACTAAGGTTAGAATTCTCAATATTAATGTCAAAATGGTTTTATTTTATGGAGCGAAATCTTGGCGAACAACGAAAGACATTCTCCACAAGATATAAGTGTTTATTTAAAGTTGCTTACACAGGATACCATGAATCCACTGGCAGACACCATCAGCAACTGCTGGATAGAACAAATCAGATTCGAGCTGCAGGTGGATAGGAAACACATTGAAGAAATCATTCGACTGTGTCACAAGACAAGCTGTCACTTGCAGTCCTCAAGGTCAGGCGAGAAGAGGAAGATCTAATAACATATTGCACTTAGAACTGAAAGCATACATGAAAAAAAGAATGGACAGCAATTGGATGGGAACTGGAGAAGAATACTCAGGACATAGTTGGTTGGAGAATGCTGGTCGGTGGCCTATACTCCGTTAGAAGTAACAGACATAAACAATTATTACCTTCAAATTTTTGAGCGTTAAGAAACTGACTAAACCATGTAACATGATATACTCGTTTATTTTTAATTTTGTTTTCTCAGTTGACTACTTTGTTAGTTTATTTAATTGTACACAGGTTTGTCAATGATTTCATCGGAGATTTCACGGAGATCTGATGGAAAATATTACCGCTGGCTTCTATGTCACATTCTATGCTGTATGATGCATGTTTAAAATAACCCCATCCAAAATGCTCTTTAGAATAACCAACCAACAGCTATGAACTAACATTTAATTCTTCGGAACCAGTTGGTGCTATGTTATGAATCGCCATTTCGTTGGACTTCATAGACAAATAAATTCGTCTACTTTGATAAATTTCGATTTATCATGTGCTCACTAGTGACTAGCTCCATGAGGAAGTTTCTCCGAGTTCTAGTAAGAAGTCATGACCAGTGAAGTTCAATCCTTTTCCGGTGTGAAGCAGTGCTCACTGAAGACTGTCGATTGATCGAAGTTAGACATTAACACTGTTAGATAGCACCTCAATAGTTCAGAGGTTCGACGTTCGCACGCCAGACCGAAGGTCTTGAGCTTGAGTCTTGAGAATAGCAAGAGCCGTGGATGCACACACTGCTGATCAGTCTCATACTACGACTAAACATCAGTCCAGTACTGACAGATTTCTAATGGTAGTCTAACATTGATCGGTTCATGATTTCAAAATGTACTTTAATAATTCTAACCAAAAAAAATTATCAGCCAATCATTTTCTGGTGAAACATACTGAGAAGGAATTTTATATTGAATACTTTAATTCAACTTATTTCTTTTTCACTTATGAATCATTGAAACATTGTACATTGTTCAGGAATTTGATTAATTGAACAATGTACTGACTTTTTTTTTTAAAAAAAAATGTTTCTACTACTAATGCAACTAATATTTTAGAGTTATGAAAAGAAACATCAAGTTCAAACTTGTACTTTTTTTTCTATACGATCGTTTAAATTCAGTTTACGGTCAAACTAAATAAATTGATCGATTATCAGTGAAGGTCAACTCAAGGTTGTTGATACATTAGCTAAATGTTACAACATAGCTTTAGCAGTAACAGACATTTTTTAACATTTGTCCAGTCCATATGCCTGTCATATTAGAATGCAATTTTTAATCAAATTATTAAACTAACCTCTCATTTTTACTGTTACTGTAATTTGATTACGGGGTTGTGAAGATTGCTAAGTTACACATTTTTGAAACCATGAATCGATCAATGTTAGACCACCATTAGAAACCTGGAAGCACTGGACGGCCGTTTCCTCCTGGTGTGGGACTCCTCAGCAGTGCGCATCCACGACTCCTGCACCCCTCAGGACTCGAACCCAGGACCTTCGGTTTCAAAAATGTGTAACTGAAGAATCTTCACAACGGCGTAACGCAAATAATCTGTGCTCACTAGTGACTAGCTCCGTGAGCAATCTTCTCCGAGTTCTAGTGGGAAGACGTGACCAGTGAAGTTCAACCTGTTCGGGTGTAGGCAGTGTCTACCGAAGACTGTGTATGAGGTTGCGCAACTCCGTGAATTTGATCAAGTTAGACATTAACACCATTGGGTACCGGCTCAGTGGTCTAACGGTTAGGGCGTTCGCGCACATTACCGAATGCCCTGGGTTCGAATCCTTTGAGGTGCAGGAGTCGTGGATGCGCACTGCTGAGGAGTCCCATACCAGGACGAAACGGCCGTCCAGCGCTTCCAGGTTTCAAATGGTGGTCTAACATTGATCGATTCATGGTTTCAAAAATGTAACTGTAATGTTTGCTTACGATGTTAGATTGCGCTACACTGGACATAAGAAGTTTGTTACGTTTGATTTCTTGAAGATTGATATATACATGTATTTACTGTTAGTGAAAATTGTTTGGCAGTTATTTTGCTAAACAGACAAGATTATAACATCAGATGAAATGGTTTTTTATAGTTAGTTAAGAAGGTTAGAAAGTACAGTAGTTTCATTTATCAATCTTCATGATATGCTTGTCAATTGATATGCTTAAAACTATTACGAGTTCATCTTAGTCGGGAAACGAGATAGAAGACAAGTGATCCAGTGGTAAGATAGGCTATTTTAATCCGAGCGTCCCAAGGTCTTACTAAGTAGAAGAAGAAGTCTTGATATATATAGTGCAGAAAGTATATTCTACAAGCACCATGAAAATACGAGGTCGACAAGTACACAAATCGAGTTCATTTATATATGATGGAAACATCATTGGGAGAGTCACAAAAATAGCGTACTAAAATAATACATCAATCAATGACAGTCAAGTATTTTCCGTGTGGGAAATGTAATCTCAAGGTCAGCTAGTCAGCTATGTTTGTTGAGACCTACTGCTGCAGAGGCTGCTGCTACACTGGTCGTCTTCTCTTGCATTTGTTGTTGAGTGTGCGATAGAAGAGCCAAGTCATCTGCGAAGTCCAGATCGTCCAGCTGCGTCCTAACTGTCCAGTTGATACCGTGCTTCCCTCCAGATGTTGACGTCTTCATAATCCAGTCGATCACCAGGAGAAAGAGAAGAAAGGGTGAGAGTAAGCAACCTCGCCTGACACCGGTCTTCACATTGAACGAGTCTGTTAGCTGTCCCCCGTGCACAATTTTTCAGTTTAATCCATCATACGAATTCTGTAGGATGTTAACTATCTTCTCAGGCACACCGTAGTGTCGAAGAAGCCTCCACAGTGTTTTCCTATCCACGCTATCGAATGCTTTCTCGTAGTCGATGAAGTTGATGTAGAGTGGTGAGTTCCATTCAATTGATTGTTCCACAATGATCCGTAATGTAGCAATTTGGTCAGTACATGATCGATCCTTACGAAATCTGGCCTGTTGATCTCGAAGTTGGGCGTCTACGAAGTCCTTCATTCTGTTCAACAATACCCTGTTGAAGACTTTGCCTGGTATTGAAAGAAGAGTGATGCCTTTGTAGTTCTCACACTTGCTGAGATCGCCATTCTTCGGTATTTTGATGAGGTATCCTTCTTTCCAATCTGATGGTCCTTGTTCCTCATCCGGAATCTTCTTGAAGAGGATGTGAAATATTT